TCATGTTTTGGATCTGATATTCCTGGTTGAGAGTAGCTATTAAGCTATATTCTTTTACACAAAAATCAGGAGAAGGCACTGTTTTTAGAAAATTTTTGCCGCCACTGTAGATGTTTCTTTCTGCTGGTTCACATAAGCAAAACATAATGATTCTAAAAACAGTGCCTTCTCCTGATTTTTGTGTAAAAGAATATAGCTTAATAGCTACTCTCAACCAGGAATATCAGATCCAAAACATGAAAATCAGAAAATAAAAGTTTAAAATCAGAAAACCTTAATAGAAAAAAAGAGCAGAAATAAGGCACAAAAAATTCCAAAAATCAGAATTTTTCTGTCAAAATCAGATCTGGGATCCCTACTGTCAACATATGAACGCATCTTGTTATCTTTCTGATTCATTTTATTCAATTTTTTATAGATATAAGATCATTCGATTTGATTAAGAACACTCGATTCATTGTCAACGGTTTTACTGACACATTAGTCAAAACGCTAGAATAAAATAATCCAGACAGAGATGAGTAAATATTCGAGGAGATAGTTCTAATATAATCCTTTGGATGAAGGAAAGGTTCTCAAACAGTGATAGTTATTTGATATTTTACGATATGGGAACAGATATGTCTAAAAACTAAGAATACACTAGCTAAATGACAACTTACTATTGGTACTCGTGGTCATCAAAACATCTTGTCCTTAAATTTTGTTTTTATATGATTTAAAAGTCTGTAAACTATGTAAACGGCATGCCTGTTAGACGTTACATCAGTATCAGTAGTTTCAATCGAACGTCATCATCTATAAAAGGCCTTTCTAAATAAACAAAAAATGTAAAGAATAATCCTGTATAGTCGCGTTACCATTGTCAAATTGCCTAGGAAAAAAAATCAAAATACAAAGGAAGACGTGTAGCTATGCTATTTCTCATATGTGTATATGTCATAGTTGTGCAAGTAGAAAAGATGCTTAGAGAAAATGTTTTTAAAAATGGAGTATCAAATAGACGTGTGTGTACTATATACATTTCTTTTCGGAAGTATACATAACAACACGATACTGACAGTATAATAGACATACAGTGTCTTATTTTATAAATTTCAAATTTCATCTTACTCAGAACAGTGAATATCTAACTATTCAAATATGAGACCTGGCTTTATACAACCACTTACACCAACCACTAAGCAACAAATTTCACCAACTTTTAATGCACCACTATCGCCCACAACGGTAAGTTAGAGAAAACATATATTTTTGATGTAGAGTTGTTCATTCATAAAGAACATTTAGGTAAAAAATTGGTGTTGATGATTCATTCCCTCGCTTCTGTCCAGTTTTAGCTGATCCCTCTCTCTCTTCATTTGGATGTCTTTCAAAAGTGAGCGCGATACTAAAATCTCTTTGGTCAAACGTTCTTCATTTATTTAATCTTTATGTGACAGTTAAAGTTTCCGTCTTCCCAAATTGTAACGAAACCTCAAACTTCGGGATAAAAACGGAAAAAAAAATGTTTCGATTGTAAGAGGGTTGCCCTCGTTTATCTGTGGATCGCGACAGTCCCTGATATTAATTTAAGTTGTAAGTAAAAATTATTCTATTTTTTGAAGTCGGAAGCATCGTTCGATTTTTTAAAGTATTAAATGTAGCTAATCTGGTAATTTAGTGATGGTTCTAGAATTTTCATTGATACTGACATCAGAAGCGTTTATTTCTCGTCAATTCATGCTAAAAATGTTCTCTTATATCTGATGTCTTCTTAAATGTACATTTTAAACTAACTAATTAAGAAAAAAATATGATACTCAGAAAAAACGCATAACATAAAATAAGAGAAAAATGATTGCTCGTTGAAAGTGTGTCTTAAGTTTGAGGTCAATGTTCCAAACAAACTTTCAAAATAAATGGTTTTAAAGTTTATACAGGTGAGAATAGTTGTATCGCGTGCAGTGGCACAGTGGAAGTTCCAGTCGTAATAGAGAACGCATTTTTCTTCCTTCCGGTTTCTCTTTTTTCTCTTCATTCTGAAATGGCAGTAAGAATTAATTTGTAGCTATTAGAAGGAAGAAAAATACACATAGAATTTCATTTTGTTCAGATGAATATGTATAGAGTAGATTGTAGATAGATGCCTTAAAAAAAGTCTTGACTTTTATACTTCTTTTCATCATAACTTTTGTATTTATCTATATTTTCAAATTCTGACTGGACAGTTCGATAGCCCAAACATTTCTCTATCGATTGGTTCATAAAGCTGTAGAAAAATCTGCCCAAAGATCACAACCATAGGAAACTTTTGTAGAATACCCATTTATTCTATATATTTACCTCAGCCTACTCTCTATTCATGAGCACAAGAGAAAAGAAAAAATCTGGGAATGGAAAATCTCTCGTTAAAGAAGAGAAAAAGAAAAGCTTTTATCAGTTCTGTATATGATGGCAGCAAGATCATTGAACTAATTCGACGGACGACGACAAGAGTGACTAATATATCGACGATTTGTTCATCATAAATACAATTTGTTCCGTTGTCTATAGAACATTTTTGTTCTTGATCGATAGATTAGTGTTATCTTTGACATCGTGTCTCATCTCGCAACGTTTAAAGTGTATATCATCTTGTCAAAAAAGAATGAGCAGTAAAATGGTAAGTTTTGTTTTCGACATTAAAATTTGTAAACACATGTCATGAAAGTGATCAAATACAAATTCAGTCTGAGAAGATGTCAAACAACAGTGCTGCAGAACGCTGTATTAGGACTAAGTGATAGAGCTCTGAACGACATTCTTAATGATAATATCGGAAGTCGTTTCGAAACGTTATGGTGACCACATTCTTATTTTTTTCGTTTCAGACAATGGAAACAGGTGGCACGAGTAAAGTATTATTTTATCCACCCAAAACAAATCGCTTTCAGTTCGATTCGCCAAAATGTGCATTATGCAGACAAAATGTTTATGCAGCCGAGGAGATGAGTGCAGCTGGAAAAAAATATCACAAATTATGTTGTAAATGCAGTAAGTGGTATACAGTATGTCCCTGACATGTAGGTATATTTCTGTTTATCGTTTAGCACATTGTGGCAAATTACTTGACTCACATAATTTAACTGAACATAATGAACTGCTTTATTGTAAATCTTGTTACAGCAAATCATTTGGTCCGAAAGGTAATTCAATCACAAAGTAACTCTGTGTATTTTCAATCCCATTTATTTCTCCTTATAGGATACGGGCACGGAGTTGGTGCGGGCATTTCAAGTATGGATGGTGTAAAAGCACACTCCATCACACCACCAATAACACCACAATCAAACTCGCCTTCATCGTCCCCTTTGACAACACGATATAAAGATAATGACTTTCGAGGAACAAATTCATTGGATAATATTGAACCTCAATCGCCCAGAATGAATCCACATTCGTTAACTTCGAATGGCCATCGTGCATCAACTTTACAGACTCAAATTACCAATTCGTTTTCATCACTTCATAAACGGACTGTTTGTCGAAGATGTAGTAAAACGGTCTATTTAGCCGAAGAAGTAAAAGCGGCTGGAGGGGTGAGTTTCTCGAATCAATTGAATGAAATCATTATTGTTTGTTTTTCATAGTCGTTTCATAAGTTATGTTTTACATGCAAAATGTGTAACAAAGGATTGAACGGAGCAAGATATAACGACCGAGATCAAGAGATCTATTGTCAAAGTAAAGTATTAGAAATTAGGATCATCAAAAAAACTACTAACATCTATTTCTTCTATTTTAGATTGTTATCAAAAACATTGGGGACCACGAGGCGTTGGCTTTGGAATAGGAGCCGGTGTTCTCTCCACAAACGGTGTTTAGCTCAAGCGAAAATCAATAATAAGTTTACATGGTCTCTCTATTATTGATAGCCGGTGCTACACCGTTTTTTCGTTGCTAGTTTTTGAAACTATAAAGCTCTATATCGTTTGTTTTCATTTGTTTTTTGTAGAAAGTATACAGTTACCTTTTCTTTGTGTATTTTGTTTCTCATATTTTTTTCGATCTTGTTTTGTTGTTAAATTCGTTTGGTCATTTCAGTTTATAAACAGGAAAAGAAATGTTCTATTTTTTTTCTATACGACAAAACTCTAAAAAGCTACAAATTAAAATCTAATTGGCATTTTATGAATCATATCTTTTTTTTTATGTAATCTCGAAACGAATTTTATCTAAATATATAGGGGCCATGCTCATTTTTATCATAATGTTCTCTATATTTTTGTTTTTGTACTTCTCTTCACATTGTGTCATCTCTTTCTTTTTTTCGTCACTGTATTTGTGTACTACTATAGTAGAAAACGTTGAACCTATCCTGTTGTTTAAAATTCAATGTTCTTAGAACTAAATATACAGTTATTACTTCGTGACTCAACAAGTAGGTTCTATGATGCAAAAAAAGCTGTCATTATAATTGTCGAAGTTTTTTTGGCTTATAATAAGTGGAAGAAAAATCACGAGAGTTTCAAAAACATTTCTGCCATTAACAAAGATAATCTCGTGAAGTCGCTCAGAAACGAAGGTTTGTATTTTTCTGGTTACAGAATATAATAAGATAGCCTGCTAAACAAGATTGGATTTCTTACAATAGGGTTAAACTCACTTCGACACTAAGTTTAGTTTTTTTCGTTCAATCCGCATTGATTCTCGCGCTCCTGCCGTGCACTCAATAAACTTATTTGTGTTTGTCACGTTTATTTGAGAATTTGTATTATACATGAACGATCATGAAGTTAAAATTGGCTGTAACGAGAAATAGTGATGTTTTGAGTTGATAAGAGATAAATTTATGCGTGCGTTCATTTTTTCCACGATAAACGTAGCGTAAAAATAATCAGTATGATTATTTCATACGTTTCCTTTGATGCGTTGGCTTAGTTCACTGAAAAAGTAAAGTACTACAGATTTGCCTATTTCTATTCACTTTCGTTTAGAAAATATGATATTTCTTACCCGAAGTGGAATCAATTCGATTTGAACGACGTATTTCACAGGATTTGTAAAATGAAAAGATGTTGAAAAAAGATTTTTTTTTGCGGCTGGCAAAGCCATCGAACTATAGTTTTTATCCTCTGTTGTATTATCATCGTTGTTTCCAGTATTGTATTCAAACATTCGTAGCAAAAGTACAATCAAGCTCTTTGTGATTGATCAAAAACGAATGGATATCTTTTGTTGTTTTTCATAGACACAGATTTGTCGTGTGTTTATATTACGATTAGGTTATTGCTGATCAAAACTAAATCTCTACTTGAGTATAAAATAATATTATCTGATGGGGAGCAGAACCCTGTGCATCTATAAGATTTTTTCACCTCTTCATGCATTGAAAAAGATTTTCGGTTTCGATTTGAGCTTTTCAAAAAATGAATTGATTCGGTTTTGAGAAAACGGAAACTAATGTCACCTCTATTTGTCACCAGTCAATTAACAAAGTAAGAATTTTTATCTAATAACTTGTGCTAATATAACCTGTATGATTTCGCATTTTCTCCATTTTGGTATTGTTTAAATTATTTCGGAATTTTTAAAAAATTATTTTCGACATTTGACAAATTATCGATTAAAATTTCATCAAACAGAAAGAGAGCGTATCTTACTAAATGCTTCTAATATTTACATTAGTATGTACTAGAAAATGATTACTTAACAGAGATTCATTTTTCTTTTGTTTTTGTTCTTCCTTTATCACACGTAGACGTTGACGTTTCTTTTTTGTTTTAGAATGAGTACTATTACCGCAGAAAAACCCAAATCATCTGGTGTTAGAACATCAACATTAAAAGATGTTAAACAAGAAGCTAACCATTGTTTCAATCGTGCTAAAAAATTAGAAAATGATAAAAGTTATGAAGAAGCAACAGTGTTATATAAACGTGTTATATCATTGATCCAAACATATGAGAAAGATAATAAAATAGATGAACATTCCATAAAAGAATTTGATACATTGAAACGAAATGCAACTCAATGCTTGATGCAAATAACTTTACACTCAAGTCCCCCGTCTGTGCCAACTTATGCAAATACGATGCGACAATTATCGAATAGAGTAGAGCAAGTAAATAAAGTTTTACGTTTTATATGGAAAAAGAAGATAAAATAATCCGTCTCGCGGCTACCGTTACAAGTGTAAATGTAGGCTTTCAATAGTCTGATATCTTCTCTACAGCTAAAATGTTTCTGAAATGGTCACCCACCTCGTTACTAGTCATCAACTGCTGCTCTGCATAAAAGGCAAGTCTAACCTAGAGTTCTTCCGCCAAATTGCTTGAACTCCCCACACTCAATAATCATGTACTCATTTTCCGAAAAACCACCACGACGAATTGGAGAAACTATATTATACGTTACAATGTAGTGATTATGCTGTCGGATATATGATTTAAAATCTTACGACATAAGTAACTTGTCTAAGGTTATTCTATAACTTGCGGGTGCCGAGGTTCAAACACAGGTGACGTGTTTACAGAGAGAGAAACTTCTAATGTTGCGCCTGTATCATTTTTTGTGCTTTATTCGAATTATAGTCATCTAATGAACAAGATCTAGCGCAAATGAGCGAACAAGTATTTGTTGATGAAGCAGCATTTCAACCAGTTAAGAATAATCATGAAGAAGTAAACGCTGTCGTCTTATTCGACCTTGAACAAGGAGCCAAATTATTTTACATGGCGGCGGATGGAAAGATAGTAACGACATTCGATACATTACCGTTATCAATATATGAAATGACGTTTGTTAAAACGTTCTATTAGTTGCAGCAATCTTTCAAAGTATTTTATGTTTAGTGAGAATGCTGATGAAACATGTGGTTTGTTAAAACTTGGTAATTGGATTTACCCATTACATCCAAAAGTGTCACCAGCATTTAAAACAGCGTACGACGCTTATCTGTTTCCTAACAATACCTCTGTTGGTATAATTTAAACCTTCTGATTATATGTTTCAGTTGCCCTTTACTAAATTTTTCTCTTCCAGGGGAATTTGTTGGTTTAATGTTTGATGAGAAAGTAGCACCAGATATCGTGCAATACTTTGAAGATGTTCTATCAAAATACTCTGTTTTCATGTCACAACAAGGCACTCCAACTTATGGTGAATCGTTAGTATCTCCTACTACATCATCTGCTACAGCTCACCTGAATAAACTCGCTCCTGCTCCTAAAGAAGCAGATACATCGAAGAAAGTGGAAAAGAAAAAAGGCGAAATAATTGGTAAAGAAGAAGTGGGTGTGGTGGACGAATCTCTCTACGATGCGTCGACTACCACAGGAAAATTAGCAGGTGCATTGGTGGGTGGAACAAAATTTTTAACAAAACAATTGGCAACAGGAGTAGTAATAGCAGAAAATCTGATTGGCAAAGCATCAGTCAAAGTTCACGACAGTTTGGTGTCGTCAGCCGAACCAGTAAAAATTCATCCAGGTTAGTTTTTAGTGAAACGATAGAAAGACAACGTATATGCACTTTAAATTCTTTGCCTACTTAAGGATTGCATGCAACAGCTCGTGGACTTCGCTCTACTTCGACTGTGGCAGTAAAATGCAGTAACTATGTTGGTGAATACCATATATCATTTATTATTCGAGATTATATTATGATTTTTGTTTGTTAGTTTCTAAGGTCGGTTCGATGACATTGGGTCTTGCTAGAACATTTGCACCACAATTTGGAAAAGTGCAAAAGAAGAAAAATACCGATGGAACAGAGGAAATTGTCAAATTATCAGGCGTACGCGGTATTGGTCATGCAGGCCTAACAAGTAAGTTGTATTAATCAAAGAAATTAATTTTATATTTAGCCATAATTGTATAACTTTTAGGCTTTTCTATTGCGTACGAAAGTTGTGAAAATGCAGCAAAACACTTAGCCACCAGTCTTGCTGACGAATCGATTTCTGTTGTGAAACACAAGTAAATAATAATAAACTCAGCGTTTTCTAGAGCCTCTAAGAAGACTGATAAAAAAAGCCTAAATACACTAGTCAGTAGTATGTTTCAATACTTTTATTAGCACAATTGTTTTATCTTTTCCGATTTTCTTCTATAAAGAAGAGCACCTATATGCTGAAGTGTGATTTAGATACGGTGAAGATGCGAGTATATTGACGGAGAATGCAATGTACGCTGTAGGTAATACAGCATTAACAACGTACCAGATGAGTAGTCTTGGACCGAAAGCAATTGCAAAAAAGGTGGTTAAACAAACAGCAAAAGAAACAGCTAAAAATGCATTCCGATAGATGAACATATCTCATTCATTTTAAAGACAGTGCGGGTTAGTTCATGTTTTTTTTGTTTGTTAATTTTTCTTAAACATTTCATACGCTTTTTTCTCCTCTTTATTTTGCATCATTTAATTCTGCGTTTCATTAAATTATATTATAACTCTGTTATACGATCTATACTCGATTTCGAGTATAGGTAGTCTCTCCGTTTGTATATTAAAACAAAATAATAGATAAATGAAATAGGAAATAAATGAGTAAATAAATATTCATCAATATTCAAATATTGACTCCTGTGAATTTGTTCAGAGCAATATACTAGAGCGAAATGGTAGCAGAGTGTCGGCTAGGGAGAAGACACGAGATAATTTGTTGTCAGAAATTTCAAATACTATTTATTTGTAGGGAACAGATAAAATACAAAAACTGTGATATTAAACTGTGAGAAAATGTGTAAAACTTTCCAAATTCAAGCGAAATGTTCTTTATCACAATTCGTTCACTGATTCTATTCGAATTATTCAAAAAAACGTTTTTGGAGAAAACTCTTTAAATGGGATAAAGCATAAATTTCAAAGAGTACCAACTATATAGCAATGATCATTAATAGTGGGAAAGAAGAACACTTTTATTCCTTTCGAATTTCGCTTGTCATTTTGTACGGGACAATTTGAGCTATTCAGCTGTGAAGGAAAACAAAGATATTTCTGTTTTAAGTTTTTGAGATACAAACTGATTCCACCAAGATCTTCTCAAAAGTCTATTTTCGAAAAAGATTTTGAAATTTGTTCTGCCTATGAAAAGACGTCCACGCTTTTGGCTTTCGACTAGCAAAAAACGCACATCTCTATCATAGTTTTATCAAACGTTGATATAGGTCCTATTTTTTTGAAACAGATAGTAGTTCACAGCAACATATTCAATTTTGTAGGGTAAATCTAGTAAATGTTTTCAGATCCTAGGGCAAAAGATGTTCAGTTGAATTAATACAGCTGGAGTGTAACGAGTTTGTCCTACAGTTGGATGAGGAGTGTAACGAGTTTGTCCTACAGTTGGATGAGGAGTGTAACGAGTTTTTTTTCACCTTAATATCATTAAATCCTCTAAAATCCGAGAGGTTTTTTCCAGTACTGATGATCATTATCCACAGTATACAAACAATGAAGTAGAAAATAAAATCCGACGTGAAACAAAAACTCCTGTGTTTCTTGTTCATAAAGCAAGTATATAGTTTAATCATTTTTGTCAATTATATTTCAATCTTTCTCTCATTTTACGAATACTTTAAATACTGTTAAATGTGTTTGACAAAATATTGTCAGATATTATCAGAAGAATATATTTAGAAATGTAATTGACAAAAACGATTAAACAATATACTTGTTTTATGAACAAGAAACACAGGGGTTTTGTTGTAATTAATCCTCACGCATGTCAAATTTGGATAAGCATTATAGGCTAAAAATTCGAGTATATTGTGAGAACAATTAATTACTAGATTGGACATGAGTTTCCAAAAAAAAACAAGTACACTTTTTAGATGCAAATAAACAAAAAGAGAAGCACACACCATCTTAGAAACCGTTTCGATGGTGAGCCCTCTCGCCATAGATCATCAACAGAATAGATAATATGTTTGAAAGATGACCGGCGATGGTATGTCAGATGATGTGTTTCATCATCAAGAATTGTAATAAATGTTGTATGAATATCATCTGTACTCCAAAATATTTCTGATACTTTGATCGAACATGCAACATTTAAAACTTTTCCATACATAATCGTATGACACTGATTTCAAGATGTGTTTTTAGATTGATAAATGGTCTACTATCCAAATTGCCATCGTCCATCATCAATGATATTACCCGATACTCAAGGCAATTTTGATCTTGAACTAATAAAAATAATGAAACGTGAGCGTGAAGGAGTTTATCCGAATTTATAGTTCACATTAATTTTTTTCTGATTAAAATCAATATGAATTGATTTAACTTGATAAGCTAATTCGAACTGGTTAAAATTCAGTTGATTTGAATTAATTTATCAAGTGAAATCAATTCATATTGATTTTTAATAAGAAAAAAATTAATACAAACTAATTTAATATGCGACTTTTTTAAATTAGTTCGCATCAATTTCCAAAAGTTCCAATGGGATAGTCACACTGATAAGATGTCGAAAATTATATTTCAGTTGATACAGAAAATGCTAAAGTATTTTTCAATAAAATGTTTGTGCTGTTCGCAGGATTCTAACTCTCCACAATCGATAATGAACAATAGATTTGGAAAGAATATTTTTCCAGCCAGCGTCATTGTCACTAAACAGCAGCTACCAAACCGTAAGATAACATGTACTCCAACAATAGCAAGAGAATCGCCCATCACATCTGTACTCCTTACGATTTCACCGCCCTATCGTCCACTTCAAATTAGCATCATCCGTCATGCTGAACGTGCTAATGCTGTTCTCGGTTCAGATTGGTCAAAACAAGTTTGATCGAAATGGACGTCAACATTTACCAGAAACACTATACCAAATCGTTCTTATCTTCATTATTATGTTATTCATGTACCATTGACAAATCGTGAACAAATGTATGTATTTAAAACGGGAAAAGCTCTTTCTCGTAACGGTTATGCGGCCGATATTTGTTATGTATCACCATCATTAAGATGTACAAAGTGCTGAATGTCTTTTCATCGGGAATGTGTAGAAAAAGTGTACTGATGCAAGTAGTGAATAATCTGACTTTTAAAACAATAGTATTTTGAAAGTATATCTGACCGAGATTTTTTCTAAAACAACGATTCTGAAACAATAGCATACATTCGTATCTTGTCAATTTTTACTTTTGTATATATCTAAACAAATGCGATAAAAAACAGACGTTCACAGGAATAATAAGAATGCAATACTTGTAAATATACACAAAAAATGATAGCAGGGTCGTATCTTACGATTAAACATGATAGATATCAATCCAAATGTTTTCTACTATAAAGAACTTATTTGCGTTCTAGGAGCCAGATCTATCTGAAGGTTATTTAAATGACTTTAAGCGTATACTGTGTTTTATGACAAAAGATGAATTAGAAGCTGACGGTTACAACATCAACATGAAATCTCGAACGCTGATCCCATGTATGCTTCCGCACGATAGTCACCTAGTCTACAATCAACGATGTCGCAGCATTGTGGATACAATCACTGAACGTCATCAAATATCGGGTGGTACAGTTTTAATGGTTTTGTGTGGAAAAATGTCGTTAATGTTCTTTAAAAAAAATAGAAATCTCTTCATCTCTATTGTTTAATCTGTTTGCATTAAAATCGCGCGAATTCAGAACATCCTTTTCATTGCTCATGCACAAAGTTTTGAAAGTTTAAGCCGATATTTAGCAGGTCAGAAAACTATTTGATATTGCTGAGCGAGTTCCTTTCCTAGCTATGATCATCATGGAAAAAAACAGTCCAGATGGTCAGTGGCTATTTTGGACAGAACTGTTACAAACAGAATTCCAAAAATCAGTGGGTGAAATTACAGAGAGAATTGCACCTCAAACACCCATTACCTGTAATCCAATACTATCCACACAAGTGATAACACATCCATCTCAATTCCAAATCCCTCAATACAATGCCTTGTTGTCAATCACTGTTTAATCAATGGCAACAGTTAATGTCATCACAAGCACCCTAGTAATAATATTGATTCAAAAATATATTGTATCTGTTAGAACACAACATTTCTTCTCATTGCTTTTTCTCAGATCTAATATAGATTGTTAGAAGAATACAAATGAAAAATAAGGTTTTTGAATACCACAGCATAAATCATCGATCAATTGGTCACTAACGTTTGATTCGATATAATGAAAATGAAAATGAAAACAAGAGATTTCGATTCGTTTTCTTTCTCCTAGAACAAAATAAATCATAATCATAATTTATCGAATGTATAACCTCAGACAAAACACAAAATCTTCAACGCAAGATGATTTCATTTTTTACCTGATACACAAAATATGGGTAGAAAGCGATTAAAAATCAATTTAATGCATTTTTTTTCGATTTTAATGCAAACAGATTAAACAATAGAGATGAAGAGATTTCTATTTTTTTTAAAGAACATTAACGACATTTTTCCACACAAAACCATTAAAACTGTACCACCCGATATTTGATGACGTTCAGTGATTGTATCCACAATGCTGCGACATCGTTGATTGTAGACTAGGTGACTATCGTGCGGAAGCATAAATGGGATCAGCGTTCGAGATTTCATGTTGATGTTGTAACCGTTAGCTTCTAATTCATCTTTTGTCATAAAACACAGTATACGCTTAAAGTCATTTAAATAACATTAATAGACTTTAAACAATAATAACAATAATAGAACTTTAAAATTAATTTATTTTGTTTGAATGATTTATGTATTCTCTACAAGAGTTGGAAAACGAAAAAGAAGTTCGTATGAAAACGTTGGATCTTTGTATATTGCTAATTTTTTTTCTATTTGCTGCGGTTCAATGTACAAAATGTTTTCTAACTGAAATTTGCCAACAAAGACGTTGGGCATTGAAAATGTTTCGGTTTCAAATTTAAATTTTAATAGGTTGCATTCGTTTAGTGTCCAATTAAACAGTGGTCGCGCTCATTTTTTTAATGAACTTTGGACGGAACAAGATGAAGACCTGCGGTTTCCACTGTCTTGTAGCCAAGACCTGACAGTATCTTTCTATGTATAAATCAATTCTATCAATGAGGTCTGCCACGGTGTACCTGATCGATGTTCCAAAGGTGAGTTTGCCAGTTTGCTAAGATTCATAACTCATCAAAATTCTTCCAGACTCCTTCAAGATATCAACATATACTCCTTTTTATGTGCTTAATCGTATTTTTTGTAGCAGGTGTTAGTACAAAACATTCCCTTATTCTCAAAACTTTCTAGAAAATCTTTCAAAATTCAAAGTACTTTCTGCTCATTTTTAAAAGTATTATGGAAGTTA